GCCACACACACACGAGAGGAAGGGGAGGGGCGGGGGGGAGGAGAGAATGTAGGAAGTAGCAGGACACATAGTGTATCGTGCATTGTTCATTGGACCCTGAGGAGCGGTAATTAAATCCTGTGAATCGTTTGTCGCTTTTTTTTTCGCCGTTGTTTTTCCTTTTTTGATTTTCGGTTTGGTTTCGTTTTACTGTGGTAACCTTCTACGCTTATGCCCCCTGAATGCCCAGCTTGAAGTGTTTGCGTATTGTTATTCATCTCCTGCCTCCGTCCCGTACCGTGCGTGCGTGCGCGCGCTACTCGCCGCCGCCGCCGCCGTTGCCGGGCTTCGCCGTGGCTGACTGGCCATCGGTGAACGTGAGCAGCTGCCATGTGGTTGCGGCTCCCAGCGAGAGAAGAGGGGGAGTCTGCCCTCAGACTCCCGTGTAATCCCATTGGGAGCTGCGTGCGTGTGTGCATGTGTGGTCCGCCCGTAACGACGGGTGCCTTCTTTCTCCGGCTTTCCAGGGCGCAGTGGCGAGCTCACGCAGGGCTCCACACGGCGCAGCCAGCGGAGGAGAGGGACGTTGGGCGCTATAGCTGGGGTCAATGGTTTTGCGCCCGCCTGCTTGTGTGCGATGCGCGTCCATGCGTGGGGTGGAGGGCGTCCGAGGAGCGAGGGCCATACATGTTTATATTTGCACCGCAGAATCGCCTCTGCTGCGTTTACTGTGCTAAAAGTGCTCATTTTTATTGATAAACTCAGTGCGTTTTTTTTACTATCTTTTTTCCGTTTCGTTTCTCTCCGTGTGTGCGTGTGCTTTCCTGCCTTATATTTCGCTTGCTCCCCTGCTTGCCTCGGCAGCACCGCTGTCGCAGAGCCTTTCGGCTCCCCGCCCCCGTGCTGCGTGGGCGGGCGAGAGAGGAGCAGAGAGGCCGGTTGGGCGGAGGGCGGGCTCCCGGCGGTTGCCCCTGTTGTGCAACGAAGGCCGCGTTTGCGTCCGCAGTGTATTTCTGCGTTGGGCACAACGAACTGGCGTGCGTGGCGTCGTCGTGCGACCGACGGGTGTTTGCCCGTTTGTGCCACCGTCTTTGCTGCCGCTGGGGCGGCTGTTGGGGGGGCAGTTCCCCTTCACTTTTTTTTTCCCCCCGTCTTTTTTTTTTACGCGGTTGCCGCTCGTGTTGGTTTGCGGCCTGTCGCACGCCGCGCGAGGGGTTCGCACTGCGCCGCAGGAGGCAGAAGGGAGCGGCAGCCGGGAGGGGAGCGAGCGGGGTGGGATGCCGCCCAAGCGCGCCAAGGGCGTGACCTTCAAGCTCGTCCACCCGTCGTACGATGACGGCGACGGCGACGGCGACGGGGCGCGGGGCACCGCCGTGATGGTGCAGGAGCAGGAGCTGCGCAGGCACCTGCCGTCGACCGCGACGCGGCGCCGCCGCCAGCGCGGGGGGGAGAGCGACGAGGAGGGGCAGGCAGGCGTCAGTGACTGGGCGCGGGAGTGGACCACCACCGCCGCCGCGACGTCCTGCGCGTCGTCCGCGGCGCAGGCAGGCGCCGTCCGGCTCCCGGAAGAGGACGCGTACATGAACCGGCACAACTTCCTGCGCGCGCAGGACCCCGACGACGCGCAGGACGCGGAGGCCGACGACAAGCTCTTCGCGGACCAGGAGGAGGTGGAGTTCACGGACGACTTCCTTCGCGAGCTCGTCTTCGGCGACGGCGACGAGGAGGAGGGCAGTCGCGACGGTGACGGCGACGACGGCGACGACGACGAGCTCGCGGGGCACGACGGGGCCGTCTACGCCCAGCACGATGTGACGAGGAGAGGTGTGGACCGCCAGTTTGCGCGGATGATGCGGGAGTTCGATGTGGATGCCCGCCTCAACGACGCCTACACAGACGACCCGCGTGCCCACGGGGCTCTCGAGGTGAATCAGTACCTGCGCGCACTGGAGGAGTTTGTGGTGGACAGGGCCGGCGTCGACTACGGCACCGCTGAGCCGCGGCGAAACAAGGGGCTGATACATCAGCTGAAGAACATGGCTCTCTGCGCCGGCACAGAGATGGGCCCCAGTGGGGAGTTGTACACCACAACCGTGCTGCCGGACAAGCATGCGCGCTTTCTGGAGGAGTTCCAAAGAGAGGCGGAGGGAATTCGACAGGCCGCACTTCAGCGCATGCAAGGGCGACAGGCCGATGACCCGGCGGAGGACTCCACCGGCGAGGAGGAGGACGAAGAGGAGGCCTACGTGCTGAAGGAGGTGCGGGATAAGACAAATCGACTAGACTGCGAGACGGTCGTTTCGACGTACTCAACGTACTTCAATCAGCCCAACGTTATCCGGGCGCCAGCCGCAGGAAACCGACGAAAAAGACACGGGGCCTCCGCCGCCGCCTCAGCAGGAACTGCAGAAAAAGTAAAATCAATGGATGAGGCGCAAGAAGAGGGCGAAGATGCGGTGCCCGAGTTAGTCGCTCAGCCGCTCGCCCTTGAGCGCCACAAGGGGGAGACAAAAGAGGAAAAGAAGTTGCGGCAGCAGCTGGCAAAGCAGGTGAAGCGTGAGCGACGTGGCAAGAAGCGGGAGCTGAAGCAGGCTTACAAGGACCTTGAGACAGATGAGGCGAAGCGTTCGAAGGAGTCTCAGACTGCAAAGAAAACTGTACACTTCTTTTAGGACGGAGGTGTGCATGTACATTTTTGCAGGAATATGTAGGGAGTGTGCAGTGATGCCCCCCTCCCTCTTCTTCTTCTACATAAGCGAAGTAGGGCGTGGTCCATCCCTCTCCTTGCAGCGACGAGTGGTGAAGAGGACGCCGCTGCGGGAGGCAAATAAAATAAGAGGCGGGCGGCCCACATAAAAATAAGGGTGCGTAACGGAAGACACATGGGACTGCAAGTCGCTCTTGATTAATAGTCAGTGAAGCAGATGTATTGCAGCTTTGGGGGGAGGGGGTTCATCTGTGTTAAATTCTGTTGTTTTTTTGATTGCTTGTTTAATGAACTGCACGTTTCTCTACGTAACTGTTTTTTTTTGTCTCTCTTTCTCTCTTGCTCTCTTTGTTTCTTTCCTTCTCACATATATACGTGTGTGCATGTCTCGCCTGTCTTGTTAGACGCGTCTGAGTCGTTGGCGCTCGGAAGGAAGCCGGGGGAGCGGGCTGCGTTGGTTTTGTTGCGGACGGATGGTCTCTTTCACCTGCAGCGCCTGCCAGGACGTGGTGAAGAAGCCGAAGGTCAACGGCCACGCCACGCAGTGCGGGGGCGCCACCTTCACCTGCGTCGACTGCATGGGCGTGTTTGACCTGCAGACGATCAGGGCCCACACGTCCTGCATCACCGAGACGGAGAAGTACCAGGGGAAGTGGCGGCAGAAGCAGCGGCCGGCGGCGGCGGCGGCGAAGCGGGTCGGTGGCGCTCTCGACAGCGACGACGAGGCAACCGGCAAGCGCACGTGGCAGCCGCTGCACCCGCCCCGACCTCCCATGAATTTGGACAGCGACTCCGACCCCGACGATGATGCGTGGGTGACGCGAAGGAAGCAGACGGACGCGGGGGAGAGAAACGCACCTCGCGGCAGCCGCAACGGCTCTCCGCGCATGCAGGCGAAGACGAGCACGCCGCCCAGCAACGACGACGAAGTGCGTTGCGCCACAAAGCGGCCAAAGCATGAGCCACTCGAATTGCCGCGCGCGGTGACGGCGGCGGACTGCATTGTGCCGAGCTTCGTGCTGGGCACGGACGAGGAGGTGGCGGAGGTCACCCGCTGGATTATGGAGGAGGGCGGCGCGGCACCGCTCAGCCTGCGACTGCTCGCAAAGAAGATGGTGGAGCGGTACAACAGCCGCATCGCCAAACACGTGCGGCGCGCCATTGAGACGGCAATTGCAAATGGCAAGCTGCGCGTGGAGGATGGTGTGGTGACGTCGCCCTGAGCACAGGCGGACCGCCGTGTTTTTTCTTCTCCACCTTGGCCTCCTGCGAGGAAGCGGGCGAGGGGGCAGACGGGCGAAAGGAGGCGCAACGCGCAGTAGGAGAGGCGAAGGGGCGAGGGGCGCGAAAGTAGACGCGGCCGGCGCCGAAAGGTGCGTTCTTGCGCCTGCGAGCACGGCACGCCACGGGCGCCGGCTAAAACACAGAGCACGAGGAGGAGAAAGAGAGCAACGGGGGGAAGCGGAGGAGGGTAAATATTCTGCCCGAGTGCGTGCCTCGCGCCCGCCTGCGTGGCTTAAGGCCCCGCAACGGAGCCGAAGAAGTAATAAAACCCGGAATAAGTTGGGCGGCGAACACCACACCGGCCGGAGTGTGACTGTCTGTCTGTCTGTGTGTGTGTGTGTGTGGGTGGGGGGGGGAGGGGCAAGGCGGACGGCAGCGAGAAAGATATTTACATTCGGCTTGATTTTCCGCGGCAGTGGCCGTCACCCTGCGTCTTT